AGAAGAAGAAGAAGGAGATTGAAACTGTAATAGTTAGCTTTTGAATAAATTGTGACTATTTTTGACAGCCAACAAATATGAATTAGACAACTGCCACAGGCTTCTATTCGAAACTCTTTGCTGATTTGATTTAACATGAAAAATAGTCGCCAGTTTTTTCCAGTTTCCACCAGAAATTTCAAACGTTTTCTTGGAACCAAAATTATATTCGCCTAGGGAGTTTCTTCTAACTTTCTTTAAAAAAATCGTTCTACTTTTTCCGGAAGCCTTTTCCATCTCCCCGGAAGAATCTTAAACAATGCCTGTTGAAGTAGTCACCTCTTTTTTTTTTTCAATGACCGCCACAACACCTACCAGAACAAATCAATCGCCATTTTCTCGGAATATACCAACACTAGAAATTTCCGCTCCACAGTGCTCAAACGGTTCCAAATTGGGCCCTGATTAGCCTCCCAAAATTTGAACTCATTTAGTGAGAAACTGACTTGGCACAAACCATTTGAAGTTTATATGGGAATTACTACGAAGATACCATAATTTCGGTTCATATCTATCTCAAAATTCACCAATTCACTCTACTTTAGAAAATCATAGCTAAGCTTACTGAAAATTTTCCCAGCTACAACTTTGTTCAAGACCACTTTTCGATCATATGTAAGGAACAAAAATTATTAATGGCTCAAGTCACTGATGTCTTATGATAATGCTCAATCAATTGTTCAGCAGGCAACATTGATGTTTATGGCGCGTAGAATAGAGAACAAAAATCATGGCTACTATGTCACACTGCAGAATACAGTGTTGCCCACAATACAGTTGCTTAATCTTGCCATAAGATTATCAATCTCTTAAACAATTAATAACTATTTAATTTGACGTTTGGCTGAAAACCGATTTTCTGCAAAGTTGTAGCTGATAAAAATTCCCATAAAAATAGCAATGGGATTTGTTAACAGTATAATATATAAAAAAGCTAGAAGACAATGAACAAAAAGTTTTGTTTTTCTATAGTAATTGCCATATAAACTTCAAATGGTTTGTGCCAAGTCAGTTTATTATCAAATGAGTTTAAACTTTCGGAGGCTAATCAGGACCCAATTTGAAACCTTTTGAACACTGTGGAGCGAAAATTTCAAATTTTGCATCAGTCTAACCAGCACCCTAAACACGCTTCTTTCGGAAACAGCCAAATAATCCTGGATTAAGGGAGCTTAAAAGTTTTCCCACAAAGAGAGAGCTTTTGTCTAGATCACAGGGTGCTGTGCGAGGAAATGGTGAGACTGACCACCTCGGGAGTAATCTGGAGCAGGTCCCAACAAAGTCACGTTCAATCGAAAATCGTCAAACGACGACGAAGCTGTCAACCATCACTTTCAATTGAAAGTCATTCTGTCTTCTCTTCGAGCCGATCCCCTTCAACATCAACAGAACCACTTTCGATCAGTTTTCGTCCTGTTTGTTTTGGCTTGACTCGTGTTCATTTCGTCTTTCATTGACAATGAACTTAGTTTCGATTCAAATTCGCGCAGTTTTTCTGACTTTTGTTGATTGTTCACTCGGTTAATTAAAGTGCATGCGCATAGATCTGTACTCGTGGATGCCAAATTTATCACTGTGCGGTGGTTTGTTTACCCATCTATATGGGTATTTTGGGAATCGGGGTGACGTCTAGAGGCCTGAAATCGATATCCGTCGACATTTTAAAATTCAAGATGGTGTTCTCCATTTCAGAAAAGTGGGAAATGCTGTAAAATACCCTCAATATGGGTATGTTTGAAATCGGGATGCATCTAGAGAATGAAAATCGATATCCGATGCCATTTTGAAATAGATGGAGGCTTCAGGTTTAAGAAAACGTGGGAAATTCTATCAAATGATCAAATACTTATACATATGCCTTTTATTTAGAATCAGGTGAATATGTCTTCTGGTGAATATGTCATGTGGCATCAATGTGGATATTTTCAAAATCTCAGTCACGTCTAGAGACCAGAAACCGATGTTTGACGCAATTTAAAAATCTAAGATGGTGGCTTTGGGTCAGAAAAAATGTGAAATACCTTCAAATACCGATAAATGTGGGAATTTTTTAAATCGGGGTGACATCTAGAGGCCAGAAATCGATGTCCGATGCCGATGACATTTAAGATAGCGTCGAATATCGATTTTCAGCATCCACACATCGTCTTCATTCCGAAAATACCCAGATCTTAGGGCATTTGACACTTTCTCTGAAACCCGATGGCCACCATATTGGATTGCAAATTGGCGTTGGATATCGTTTTTCAGCATTTACGCGTTCGATAAATACCCATTGTTTGGGCACACGTCGAACATATGTGCAACTACTCTACACACAAAAGATGTATCCATCCACACAACGATGGCATTACTTGTATATACAGTGTATATACCCAAGTAACAATTTTGGTTGTATGAGGGTTCTGTAGACCATAATTTAGACTTGTAGCATGCTTGAAAACCTAAACCTAAACCTGCTAGAAAACTTAAAATGCTACTTGGGTAGCCTTGTTCTGAACTGTTTAATATTGTATTGTATGATAAACGATAACAAATAATGACATCACCAAACTTGACGTCGAAGTCAAGTTGACGGGGCATCTGCAGCGAACTTCCAACCACCTCTTCATACCGTGTCGACTGTTAAGCACTCTTGCCGAATGTCACCGTACAGCTGCACATTTTCTCCGACGCCTCGGAATCTGCCTACGGTGCATGCATCTACGCCCGCTGTCATGACGCTCAAGGACAGGTTCACATTTCCCTGTTGGCATCTAAGTCACGCGTAGCACCTCTCAAACGAGTCAGTCTTCCACGTATTGAGCTCTATGCCGCTGTTCTGGGAGCGCATCTCTACGATCGGATCAAGAAAGCAATCAATATTGACATCTCCGCTTCGTTCTTTTGGTCGGACTCCGCCATCACGCTGCAGTGGATTCGGTCCCCTCCAAACACCTGGAAGACCTATGTCGCAAACCGAGTTTCCGAGATCCACCACTTTACTCACGGCTGTGCTTGGAATCATGTCTCTGGCTGCGAAAGTCCTGCTGATTTGGTGTCACGTGGAATGACTGTAGTGGATTTCATCGAGAGCAAACTCTGGCGCAGCGGACCAGATTGGTTAGCTCATCAAACGCAAGACTGGCCAATATCTAGACCTCATACCATACCCAAAGCGGACCTTGAAGTGCGAACAGTGGCTGCAGCAGTAACAGCAACACCGTCGATCAATCCGTGGTTCGTTCGCAGATCCTCTTATACTCGCCTTCTCCACATTGTCGCCTGCTGTCAGCGTTTCATCACGAATTGTCGCGCTAAAGTTCGTACCCAACCGAACGCAAACAAATCTACCATCGTCAGCCTCTACCCTGAAGAGTTAGCGGAAGCCAAAGCGACACTGACTCGTCTGGCACATAATGACTCCTTCGCCGACGAGATCCAAGCCCTGCAAGAAGGTCAACTAGTCGGGAAGTGTTCCCCCTTTGAAGGTTGAGCCCATTTATCGATCCAAAAAAGAGCGTTGAGAGTGGGAGGTCGTCTAAACCTGTCTCAATTGCCCTACCAAAGCAAACACCCATATTGTAGGATATTTGAAACGTTTATGAAACCCGATGGCTGCCATCTTGGATTCCTAAATGGCGTCGAATGTCAATTTTTGGCATCCGAAAATACTTAAATCTTAGGGTATTTGACACTTTTTATGAGCTCAACTTCCGCCATATTGGATTCCAAAATGACGACGGACATCGATTTTCGGCACCTTCGCGTCGTATTCATTCCAAAAATACCCATATTGTAGGGTATTTGAGATTTTTCCGGACTTAATTAATTTTAAAGGAAGTAGTTTTTGAGTCATTCATTGCGTCAATTGAAACAAGTATTTGCTTCAAATGAAATGAACTGATGCACTTGACGAACGAAACAAACGATAGTCAAGGCATGTTTGACCGGAGGAATGTTCATCGTGACTCGATAACAAGAAACACAATGACTTACACGAAAATGATGTTGCTGGAAGTGAAGCGATTCTGCAGAGATTTCATCCTGATCTGGAGCATCGAATGGATACAGTCCAGGTTTAAAGGAAGAACCAAGAGATGGTACAAGTTCAGAACAAATTTTCTCATGAATAAATTTTCCACAGATTTTTAAACTTTTACCGAACAGTTCCGCAATTCAAAAACTCGGTAAAACCGTACTGACTCGATTAGTGTGTATCGTTTTCATTGAGCCAACTCGAAGAAGTCTGCTATAAGTTCTCATGCAACAAAGTGTTTAGCCGTAATTTGAAGAAGAATCAGTGAAAACAAAATGTATGGACAAAAGAAGTTTCAATCTCCCGTCTCTCGCAGATTTGGGCAACACCATAAATTAGCAAATACATTAATTCAATACAATGAAGAAGACCACCTTAATAAAAAAATAACCATAAAAGAGAGCTTAACGACGTGTTCGGGGTATCATCCAAACCATTTGTAGGATAGTTTACCCATCCGGGATACACATCGTTTTTCGTATTTGTTTATTAGGGCCTGTCGGATGAAGCTCAAAACAAAGAAAACAGCGCAATACGAAAGAGAGAATCACTCAACCACAATATTTTATTCAAGCAGCGTAGACTTTGCTCTCTCTCACTCTCTTCTCCGAACCATGTTCATCATTGTACACAAAATTGCTTCCACCACTCCCTCCACTTCCCTTGTTCAACAACACGTTGGAAGAGAAAATGATGATGATGTCATCGTGGGATATCTCAGCAGATCGACTAACAGTTTCAATCTTATTGTATGATTAAATTATCAACGAAACGTGACTGGCACTTCCCATCTCAATATCGATCAACAACTGGTCAATGACTATTCAAGAACGTTCACAATCAAAACACACAACCCACTGCTCCAATCGTCATGTCACCATTTTATTCCAACTGATAGCACCCCAATTCTTATCCCCGTATCATGCACCAACCACTCTGCTGTTATCTATATTCGTTCAACTCCCAGCCGCAGACTACCCTCGATGGGGCTAAGCACCAGTGCGTTCGGTTTGAACTTTACCTCTCCCGGTTGGAATCCACCGTCGTCGTCGTTGTTGTCGTCAGCGGGTAGAACGAACCGAAAATTGCGCAACAACGTCACCAGTCCGATCTTGACCACCAGAGAACCGAAATGAGCTCCCACACAGCCACGGGGGCCGGCTCCGAACGGGAGATAGCAGTAGGGATGTCGAGTTTTTACTCCCGATGCGAAGCGATCCGGATCGAATTTCTCCGGGGATGGAAAGTGGTCAGGATCGTGGTGTAATGCGTAGACGGGGATCACGAAAAGTGTCCCCTTCGGAATTTTGCTGTGCGTGGTGTTCGATCGACGGTAAAGCAAGTCCATCGGAGGGTACTTTCGCATCGTTTCTGTTGATTTAATATGGGTTTAAGGAGGGTTTTGAAAAGATTTGCTTGGTACTTACCGTTCACCACCTGGTCCAGGTAGGGCATGGACATGATAACTTCGTACGTTAACTGACCATCCGTATCCTCCAGAGAGTGGTTGATCCCCTCTCGCAGACGGTTCTGAATTGTGTCGTTTTTGGCTAACTCGTACAGACAGAAGGTCATCACCGAAGTACACGTTTCCAAGCCATATTTGACAAAGGAGTAACACTGGGTGGTCAGTTCATCCATTGAGATCTTCTGTTCCTCACGGAGCCGTATTAACAGCTGGAGGATGTCATCCTTCCAAACGCCGTAGCTCTTCCGGTGTAATACCGTTGCCGTGCACAATCCTGCGTAGAATTTCTCGACGGATGCATCCGTTATTCGTAGACCCATTTTCCTAGCAATGCTTGGCAGTGCTACTCCAGCCCAGTGCTTCAAAAGCGTAATCCAGCTGAATTCGCCTGCCTTTTCCCCAGTGGCTCGGAACTCCGTATTAGAATACTGAATCGTCCGGCATCGAACACCAAACACGCTTGTTCCCAAAACATGCGTTACGTACCGATAAACCCATTCCTGAACGTCTATCTCCGAACGGTCATAATTCTTCCGAATCTCAACTTGCAGCTCGTTGGCAACACTTGCAATCGTTCCAAACACACGCCTTATAGTCTGCTCACTAAACACCGGAGCCAGTCGCACTCGCTTCTCTTGCCACTGCTTTCCACCCAATCCAAACAAGGTATCACTCAGTGGATCCATGGCCGAATCCACGTACAGTCCCCGGTCTCGAAACACTTCAGCACCCTTCTCCAATATCTGTTGCACCAGATCCGGATCGATCACCAATATCGAAGGCGATACGAACAGATTAAATCCACCGGCTGCCAGTCGCCGTTCCTTCAAATCTCGGTAAATCCGTTGCAGCAGCGTCGAGGAATGTTCGCTACTCCAAAGACCTCGGACATTTCCGAACAGCAGGTGTGGCCACGCAACGAAAGGAATCCTCCGACTGCGCCAATATACCCGCCTGGACATAAGAACATTGCGAAGGTACAACCCCAGTAACAGGACTACCGCGAGCACCAGAAGAATCCACACCGTACCAGAAATCATCTCCGATACACTGACCCCGGGCTAGCGAAAGCCCATTGTTTTCGAAGTCGGTAGCCCCTTATCGCACCACCAGGCGCAGGCGTGGTCTTCTAATTATTATCGCTTTGTGCTCGCTCAGCGATTGATGGCTTCTCTGCAGCCCAAGATAAGACCCTCTCCTAATACGTGAATCATTAACCATGGACTTTGTTTTGACGTAGGATTACGTCTTTCGGCAACATATTGGGAGTGCAGTTTTAAAACACCAAAATCGACCGCGCTACGAAAAGTGGTCAGGTTTTGACCACTTATAACTCTGTCAATAGCGGATGGATTTTAATTCTAAACAAGCCAATCGATTGGTAATTTTTGTACCAAGCTGCTAAAACTTGAATTTTTAATATGTCACTATTGAAAATTACACAAATGTCCAACTCACCGATTGCCTGCAAATAGTGGTTTCCCATAGTCACCAAATATTGATACCGAGCACGTAATCCTACGTCAAATCTACGGTCGTGTCTTGGATACAACCTCTTACTTTTCTACTGGAGAAATCGACTTTATTTGACGCGCTCAATCTGTAGATACATTCCAATTTTCGGACTCAAAGTCACTGAAGCAGGTTCGAACTCCATCGGGATTAGGGTACGTGAGTTGACACGGAATCTGAAGCTCTGTAGTAAGCTGACCAAACCAATTTTGGCCTGCATCACGCCGAATCGCATTCCGATGCAGATGCGTGGTCCCTCGCCGAAAGGAACGTACGCATAAGGATGGCGAGACTTGACGACTTCCGGAAGGAAGCGATCCGGGTCGAAACGATCCGGGTCCGGGAAGTGATCGGGATCATTCTGAAGCGCGAACATAGGGATTTGGACAAACGTTCCAGCAGGTATGGTGTAGTTGGTTCCCGGGACGGTGTAGTCTGTGCTGTTCATTCGGAATGTGTTGTCCAATGGAGGATACTTCCGAAGAGTTTCTGTAAATTACTCGAATTAAGAATTAATGGACATTGAATGGTAAATCACATAAACCCACCGTTTAACACCCGGTCCAGATAATCCATCTTCATCAACGCATCGTACGTTAGCTGGCCATCATTTTCTCCAAGCACCTCGTTGATCTCCTCCCGCAGACGATCCTGGATGTCTTCTGCTAACGCCAACTCATACAGGCAGAAGTTCATTGTAGTGGACGACGTTTCGAAGCCTGCTGCAAAAAACACGAAACACTGCGCAGCCAATTCGTTCATGGTCAGCCCATCACCACCGGAATCCGGAGCATTGCTCAATTTTCCATTGTTCTTAATCTCTAGCAGTAGCTTAATGAAGTCATTTCTCTGCACTTGCTCCTTCTCGCGAATTTCCACCGTACTCTTAACCAGTTCCATGAAAAAATTCTCCACCTCATCATCGGTTACCTTAAGCTTCAGCCACCTAGCCAATCCTTTGAACTGAATCCCAACGAAAATCTGCAACAGTATTTTCGGTGATAGCTCAAAAACCTTAGCCGCCATCTTGCGCAGCTTCGAGTCAGGATCCTTAAACGAGTTACACTCTAGACCGAACGCAACACTCCCGATCACATCCGTGGTGAACCGTTGCATCAGGTCCCGTATCTCCAAGTCCTCTCGGTGGTAGTTCGATTCCACATACTTTTTCAACTCGTCCGCCACTGACTGCACCGTAACGAACATCATCTTCATCTTTCCGGAGGTGAACGTCGGCGAAAGTTTCTGGCGCATCACGCGCCACTGCGCACCATCCAGATTGAACAGATGAGAATTTAGCGGATCCTTTTCCGGATCCGTGTAGAAGCCATGGTCGTGGAACACATTAAACTCCTTCACCAGCACTAACTTTACAAACTCCGGATCCACGGCCAAAATGGTGGGAGCAAAAAAGTTATTGAACCCACCAAAGGCCAAACCTCGTTCCTTAAATTCGCGGTAGATTTTCTGCAACGTGATGGCCATGTGGACCTTGGTTCCCATTCCGGCCACATTTCCGAACAAGATGTGCGTATTTCGGGCAGCCGGAACATCGCGACGCTGCCAGTAGCCTTGAATCCATTTCAGATACCCTAACAGGGCAATCACCACCGCCAAAAGTGGGACAAACAGCACGATCAATAACCCCATCTCTTCACGCGACTGGGTTTAAACTGAACCACCATGCGGTCGACGAACGGTGGTTTGCTTCGGTTTCGGATCCGTTTCTCTTTCTGAGCATATTTTTCGACTCTCTTTCTCCCACATTTTGAAGGGTATGGTCGCACGCGGGTGTGATGCGAAACGGGGCGCAAAATGATGAAAGAAGCTAACATTGTTGTGATTAACTAAAATTTGATGTCTTATCTCTTTTTTTTTCAGAACACCGTAGATAAGCTAGTCCAGCGAGCAAATGCTTCCATCCTGATTGGAACCTCATCGTGGAAGGAACAATTCGTCGAAGCGCTCACCGTCAGTGCCGGTAAGTGTTTGTGGGGTTAATCAATCTAATTATAAGGAATGTATTTATGTCTGTGTATTAGGGCGGTTCAAAGTATTCAAGGTCAATCGATTCCAAACCAGGTCGGGATGATTCTCTCCAAATTTGAGCTCATTTGGATGTGAACTTATACTGCACTAGCCCTTTGAAGTTTATATGGAAATTACTATGAGAAATGTAATGTTTTTGTTATTATCTTCGTAGTCCTTCAGCATAATGAGTTATGGATATATTAAAGGAAATTTTATCAGCTACAACTTTGCTGATGACCACATTTTCATAGAACGTCAGGATAATTAGTTATTAATAAATTAAAAAGATCATGTTCTTCTGACATGCTCAGTCGGTGTATTATGAGTCACACCAAGAGTAAAGTAAAACTGTCAAACCGGCTATCCATCTTGCAAAGTAAACAAACATTACGATGCTATGAAAGCTCTATGGAAGGCATTACAATAAAATATAAAATATAGTCGAAAAAATGGCCATAACCCCGCAGTGAGCATTAAATTGTCGTGGGATACGTTTTCAGTAATAAGAATTTGTAATATTTTATGTTAAGATAATACGGCAAAATCACTGATATAATCATTTACTACAGCCGCTAATTTGTTTTCTCGCTAGAAGTCATTTGAAGTTGATGCAGAAGCCTTCTGTTGCCAAGTGAAAGGGAAAGGAATCTTTCGAAAACCGTGATGCGAGTACCATTTTTTCTCTTGACGTGACTCTCATACACAAACTCTAGATCCACTAACTGCTCAGCAGGCAACATTGGTGTCCTTGGCGCGAAGAATGTGGCATATAAATCCATGATAGTAATAACTAATTTTCTAGTCCTTCAATTAAATCAGCATATATAATGTAGCAAACCTATCCGTAAATCTTTAACCCGCAAAGTATCAGGACGAACGAATTTTTTTCAACACACTCGTTCTCAGCAATGCCTCATACGATTTTCATAAACTTTTTATTCAAGGGGAATAGTTGAACTAACTTTTGTCGTAGGTACCGCCCCCTTAGAACCCTCCTCGTTCTTGGGAGATGCAAATATGTCTGTGTTTTTTGGTACTTTTTTAACCAGTTTGACCAAATGTTTAAAATTTTCACGCGAATCGGTTGTCTGGTGCAGCAAATGATATCAGATAGATGAAATATGATTAGTAAGACTAAATTTAGATATTTCCATAACGTATGTATGGCTACGATATTATCGGTACCCGAAGTCCTCGAAATCGATTATGTAGGAATAGTAATATCTCAGGCAAAAGTATCTTGTGGCATGTCAGATCATGTCAAATAGGTAGAATCAAGTGAATGAAGATGATTTCAGATGATTTTGGCCAGTTTGGCATCGGTTCCGGAACGCGGATCTGTGAATTCCGGCGAACGGTTTGTTGAAATATAATTTCATTGAGCTATGATCACTGAAATCAGGTTGTAGTGTATCTGATGACATATGGACACATTGGCATCGGTTCCGGGAAATCCGTGGAATTCGGTTTTATACCCCAAAAGAAGCAAAAACCGCGATAGAGCGGGTGAGAACCAGAGGAGCCAAGAACGAAGCCTGTCAACGGTAGTCGGCTCTAGAGAAGGAAGTAAATAAAATAGCTCTATCTCTATCTTACGCACATGAAATCGGCCAATCAGGAGCTGGTTCACGTTTGACAGAAAAGTGGTTCATTTTCGCCCCCGTATTGTCACCTCTTCTCTTAGTGGAAAACCAAAAAAATCTGCCGGCTAATGAGGAAATTGACGAAAATTTTAATCAGTCTCGGAGTAGTACCAATAGACTGAGTGAATCCAATCTTTACTTTTCTCAAATTCGGGAAGTTTTCCCTGGAAAATCCTGGAAAAACCTGGGAAAACATGAGACAAATTTTACTCATCGCTGAGTTCCTGCACTTTTGGCGATTATGAGTGAACTAAACTCAAATTTGGGTCGTTCTCATTCGCCGTGTAGGCTGTAGGAAAATTGGACAACGAAATGAAATTGATAATAATGGCTCCCGCTTTTTGACAAGCTAGTATATGAAATCATGATGGCGGTCTTGGCACTTCATCAATTAATTAAGTCTATATGCATTAAAGATACGCGTCTGCAATATTAAGCAAACGTCATCAGTGCGATCAACTTATTTAACCTTCATATAAACGATCACAGGTTTGCAGCGATACTTGAAAGTGACATTCTAAACTTATCATAGAGTCGATAAATTACGGAAAAATGTTTCCAATCAAATCCAAAATTCGGGTGTATTTAGGGTTGTCCACAAATAATGGGTTTTTTGTAATAAATGCAATGATTTTTTTTATTTAATGCACACCGTCTTCGACTACGTCGTACAGACTGGTTACTTAAAAGTAAAACTTGTTTAATCTAAACCTCTTATTCTATTACTAAACACATTTTTGGACACGGTAAAATCAAACTCATTACAAACATCATTGATGGAACGCAAACATGAATTAAAACAGATATTGAATCCAAAGTTAGTTCTGTGGAATGGAATTGCCAGTAATGAGGAGTTACGAAATCTACGAGGAAGAATGTTCCATGGAATCCGTTCCAGGAGATCGGGACAGTCCACATTGCCGGTGATTAGGTCGAAGATGAACAGTCGTTGCAATTTGATACGCCTTGCTGAGAGAGATTCCAAATCAATCAGCATTAGACTGATGCAAAATTTGACTTTTTCGCTCCACAGTGCTTAAATGGTTTCAAATCGGGTCCTGATTAGCCTCCCAAAGTTACAACTCATTTGGTTAGAAACAGACTTCGCACAAGCCATTTGAAATTTACATGTAAATTACTATGGGAAATCTCAACTTTTTGTTCATTGCCTTCTAGTCTTTTTCCATATTGAGCTGCGAAACAGTTCGATAGCCATTATTAAAGAAAATTTTCTCAGCTAAAACTTTGCTGAAGATCGTTTCTATGTAAAACGAGACAGGAAAAAGTTATTAATTATTTAAAAGATTGGTAAACTTATGACATGATCAAGCAACTGCTCTGTAGGCAACACTGTATTTTGCAGAGTGACATAGTAGCCATGATTTTTGTGTCCTATTCAACGCCCCAGAAACACCAATGTTGCCTGCTGAGCAATTGCTTGAGCATGATCATTAGACATCAGCGCATTGAACCATTGATATCTTTCGATCCTTGCATTAAATCAAAAAGTGGTCTTCGGCAAAGTTGTAGCTGGAAAAATTTCTTGCAAGTACAGTTGAAAGCTTTTGAAGCAGACCGATATGGTGAATTATTAGATAGACATGAACAAAAATCTTGGTTTTACCATAGTAATTCCCATACAAACTTCAAATGGTTTGTGCCATCTCAGTTTCTCACCAAAGGGGTTCAAATTTTGAGAGGTTAGTCAGGATCCGATTAGGAATCGTTTAAGTATTGTGGAGCGAAAAAGTCAAATTTTGCATCAGTCTAATCAGCATGCATCGGTCTGGATTTAAATAAAATCGACACGGATATCAAAAGTGACAGTTATATCGAGATATACCGGTACACCAAGAAACGAAAGCTCGTTTACTAAGAAACAGGATGATTTTGAAAAAAATAAACCCATGATTTAGTTTTCAGAAATGGATACCTTGCCATACATTTTGTATCGTCTTGAAACGATCAACCAGTGTGGTCATTTGGGGAAACTATGAGTGTATTAGAAAATAAGAGCAGCTGTCTGGGATGAGATCTATGAATTATGTCCATTATTTGTTTCATGATTTTTTTTCCAAGGTGGTATGCCCTCATCAAACAACTGAACAATATTGATCTGGAAAACAATCAATTTAGAGCAAACATTCATCAAGGATACGCATCCAGAAAGCCCCAGCAAAATTGAAAATTAACCTCAACATCAATCACTGATTATCTCGTTTCTACTACTTCCAGGGGATGACGATGGCGACAACGAAGGAGAAGAAGCACCGTCCCCGAGCTGTTCCGACTACATCATGCATTTCCTCACAGTGTTCTGGAAGATCATCTTTGCCTTTATTCCACCAACAGGTAAGTCTAGTAGCAAATTCCTACTCGAGATGCCATTGCTTGGAGTCATCAAATTTACAAGCAAATGCACAATCCCATCATCCATCTTCGCTGCACAATGGAAGTTGGTAAAGCAATTTCCACCACAATTGAAAATCCTAATCCATCCTGGGTTGTTGTCATCCTAAATCTCCTGGACCACAAATTTCCGCTACTTCATCACTACACCCTCCGACCCCTTCCTCATTCTTTCACCCCATTGAAAGCCACCAGACGGAGGGCGAGAGAACGGAAAAATGGCCCTATCTCCCCATAAATCATCCGATCGTTAGTAGTACCTACCCGTGTCGCTCTGCTTCGATAGCATTTCCTGTTCCCGGGAATGCGAAACAGCAAAATGGAGCATCCCGCAATAAAAGTAAATACGTGTCCATAAATCTCTATTTCGACTGTCCGTCCTGCCACGTGCCTGTATCTATATGTGACTCTTGGGAATCGCTTAGTGTACTGAAAAGTGAAAATTCCCCGGGGCACTTGGGGAGATGAAAAGCGATTATCTCCATTTCAGCTTCCCCCTAGTGGTGAACCACTCCAGGGCAAGTCAAAAATTCAACTCCCCCGGGCTTCTGTGTGACCATCATCGGTCGAGGGCTGATGGAAGTGAGACGCAATATGCACATGACATGCCATTTCCGGCATGATTGTTCCGAAATGGGACAAATGTTGCAGCAGTGTGACACAATCCGGTTGGGGATTGTGGTTTTTCTGGTTGTCGTTAACAAACCTTTCCAGATGCAGTAAATTGAATCCATTAAACCATCCGTCCGAGTCAAGCCTGTCGAGTGAATCGTTTACATTTTGCAAAACATAAAAGCATTGAAGTTGACGGCAGTGCTGCCGGATGCCATCTCGAATGAAACATGATATGTGCTGGATATTAACTGGATGTTGTTCTTCCGTGCCACAATACCGAGAAGGAATGCCCAACGAACTATTCCTCCCATAAGCATACGTGATCGCATTTCATTCCGTCACTTAAGACGTGCAGTTCTCTCGCCCGCCATTCCATGCCATATGTTCCGCCCGCGCGCGTCAGCTGCCAAAGTTCGCTTCCTCGGAAAGAGCATAATGATGTGGAAAATTTCCCGAGATGTATGGCATATTCCAGTATCGAGTGAGGCGAGGCGAGGGAACATTTTCTCGGTGAATACTCTGGCGTTCCCGACCATCATTCCGCAAACCAACCGAGACGTGTGGTTGGCGAATTTCCTTCTCCTCGGTGCACTTGAACGGCAGAGGCGTGTGCCATTGTCGGTCGGTGGTGTCCTATAGTGGTTGATGTAGTGGAAGCAACGATCGCCCGATGCCCAGGGTTGCATTGTAACGAAAATTGATGTGACATTTACGTGATGATGGTGAGAAAGATGATAAAGTTCCATAATGGAGGGGAAATTTTACGTTCCCTGGGAGCCCATAAAGGCTCCAACACATTGAGATATAACGTCAAATAAATGTAAATGTCTTAGGCGTTATACTTTTTAGACTACATCAACATCGAAAGCTCACATCAATGTCAACTACGTAGGGAAACATTACAGTTACAGTTAACCAGTGCTGCATTATTTCATCAATATCACTGACGTGCTACATTTCTCTATGATGCGACACGACGTGCGTTACTTTGCTTCGTAAATACACTTTGACAGACAAAGTAGTCCGGCAAATTATTTGCTACAGGTTGAGATTGTCGCAGATTGTTGTGTTTCTTCATTGAGCAACATGTTTCTCCTCATCGTTTCGGTTTTTTTTTTTATAATTACTTTATTTGTACAGGCTCAATCGAATAAACTTTACAGAGCCGAGTTATTCTTTGCGTTATACATTATTACTGTCTTAAATTTAAAGTTAAAGGAACTGGACCGAGTACTCGCGGTTGTCTCGAGGTTAGTGGAGATTTACAATTTTTGGATGGGAAAAGGGAAGAAGGAGGTTTGAAATGTGGTTTACGATACAACTATTTAATTAATCCTAAAGCATGAAATTATTTCTATTCACCTTGAAAACAAACATTGAAAAAAAAAACCCACACGTACAAAATACAAACTAAACACAAGGTTAATCAAACTTACAATCTAAGGTTAATATCCTTAAAGTAAACATATATGAGTTTCATAAACTCCAGATCGCGTCTAGCCAAAATATCCCGAACTGGAACATTAGGTTGTCTACCTCGAGCCCGAAGGGAATCATAAAAATGTGATCTGACTCCACGATACTCCGCACAAGACCAAAGGATGTGATCAGCGTCCTGGTAACCTTGTCCACATTCACAGAGATTGCTGTCTCCCAACCCCACACGGAACAAGTGAGCGTTTAGACAATAGTGATTGGACATGAGACGAGACATCACGCGTATGAAGTCTCGACTCAAGTCCAACCCTTTGAACCATGCAAACTTCGACACCTTAGGGATAATTGAATGTAGCCATCGTCCCAAGCTCCCTTCACTCCATTGATGTTGCCAGCTAACGAGCGACTGCTGACGATAAATAGAGAAAAATTCACTATAGGCGATTTGTCGATCATAAATGTCGCCTTCCATAGCGCCCACCTTCGCAAGTGAATCCGCCTTCTCATTGCCCAAAATTGAGCAATGCGAAGGGACCCACGCGAAGGTGATGATGAAAGAGCGTACGGATAAAGTACTAAGCAGTTCTCGTATTTTCAAGAGAAAATACGAGAAGTGCTTTACCGGCCTAATGGAACGGATAGCCTCGACAGAACTGAGACTATCCGTAAAAATAAAGTAGTGGTCTGGAAGAAGTGAAGCAATAGTTTCCAAAGTGTAGTGAATTGCTGCCAGTTCAGCCACATACACAGAACAGGGAGCTTCAAGTTTTCGAGAGGCGCTATGAAATTCATTAAATACACCAAAACCAGCGGACTCCTCTATTAGAGATCCATCTGTGAAAAACGTTCTTGCAGAATCAACATGGCCAAACTTTGCAGCGAATAATGACGGAGCAATCATAGAACGATGATGCTCTGGAATTCCGCGGATTTCCTGCGTCATAGATAAATCAAAATTCACTGAATTGCCGAAATCGGAGAATATTACACGATTGGGAATATTTCTTGAAGGGCTGACATCCTGTGTTAAATATAGGTAGTACAAAGTCATAAAACATGTTTGAGGATTTAGCTCCAGAAGCTTCTCAAAATTTTCGATCACCAGTGGGTTCATTACTTCGCAACGGGTGAGGAGCCTCAGAGATAACTCTGAAAAACGGACGGATAGAGGCAACATGCCCGCCAGCACTTCGAGACTCATAGTATGAGTCGAGTGCATGCATCCTAACGCGATACGAAGACAACGATACTGGATCCGTTCCAGCTTGATGATGTGCGTTTTAGCTGCCGACTGGAAGCAAAAACTACCGTACTCTAAAACCGATAAAATCGTTGTCCGGTACAACGTCAGAAGATCTTGTGGATGGGCTCCCCACCACGTTCCGGTAATTGATCGAAGGAAATTGATCCTTAGTTGGCATTTTCGTCTCAGATACTCAATGTGGGATCTCCAGGTGCATTTGGAATCGAACCAGACCCCAAGATATTTAAAGGACATGGAATGAGTGATCGGTTTACCCAAAAGTTGAAGCTTCGGTTGTGCTGGGCTATGCTTCCTAGAAAAAACGACCAACTCAGTTTTCTCCGTGGAGAATTCGATACCTAGCTGAATAGCCCAAGTAGACAAATTGTCCAAGGTATCCTGTAAGGGTCCTTGCAGGTCAACCTCTTTTGGCCCTGTGATAGACACTACGCCATCATCTGCAAGTTGTCTCAACGTGCAATTGTCACTAAGACAATTGTCAATTTCTCTAACGTAGAAATTGTACAAAAGGGGGCTTAAACATGAGCCTTGGGGGAGACCCATGTAGCTAAATCGAAAAGCTGTAGAGTTTCCATGAGAAAAGCTCATATGTTTTTCTGACAGCAAATTGTACAAAAAATTATTCATAAATGGAGACAATCCACAAACGTGGAGTTTCTCTGAAAGAACTTCAACGGATACTGAATCAAAAGCCCCCTTGATATCCAAGAACACAGAAGCCATTTGCTCTTTCTTAGCAAAAGCTAACTGAATTTCCGAGGAAAGCAACGCGAGACAGTCGTTCGTTCCCTTACCCCTACGGAAACCAAATTGAGTATCTGAAAGAAGGTGGTTCGTCTCAACCCATTTGTCGAGGCGAAAAAGGATCATTTTCTCCATCAATTTCCGAATACACGACAGCATCGCGATGGGCCGATACGAATTGTGATCCGACGCGGGTTTATCAGGCTTTTTAATGGCTATCACCCTCACTCGTCTCCAATCGTCGGGAACAATATTGAGCTCCAAGAACTGATTGTACAAGTTCAACATGCGCCTCTTAGCGACGTCTGGGAGGTTTTTCAGCAAGTTGAACTTGATTCTATCAGATCCCGGGGCAGAATTGCCACACGAAAGGAGAGCGAGTGAAAGTTCCACCATTGAAAAAGGCTGACTGATTTCGTCTACCGAATTCGCGGTTTCGCGAGGAGTCAACTGCGACGGCACGGAATCCGGACACACTTTTCGCGCGAATTTAAGAATCCATTGATCCGAGCATTCCTCGCTTTCGTTGTTAGTAGACCGGTTACGCATTCTTCGCGCCGTACTCCAAAGCGTATTCATAGACGTTTCGCGCGACAATCCGTCTACAAACTGCCGCCAGTAACCCCGTTTTTTGGCCTTGATGAGGCTCTTGAGTTCGCGTTCAAGAGATGTGTATGCGTCGAAATGCTCGCGTGTTCCGCGTTTCCGAAAAAGTTTAAACGCGTCGGACTTTTTACGGTAAACCTCCGTGCATTGTTGATCCCACCAGAGCGATGGTGTTTTCTTACGAATAGAGATCGCGGCACCGGTCGTGTTTGAGCTTGAAGTGCGCTGTCGACGATGAGATTAGAGAGGAAATTATATTCCTCCAACGGCGGAAGCT